TGTGTGTGTGTTTTGACATAGGTAAATACCCACAGCCAGAGCCTGACCTGTGCGGTGGGGTGCTCGGCTGCCGTGGGAGGAACGTGGAGCGTCTTGGGCTTGCTGCATTCCTGCCCTCCTCCTCGCTCCTGCAAACCGGGGAAGGCGAACCGAACCCTGCTTTCACGCCTCCTATGTGGCGGCCGGGGCAGAGGAAAGGGCTTGAGCGTCACCTCTGCGTTTTGTTTCATAAGAGCTGAAAGCGCCCTCCCTGACTGCAGAGCCCTGCAGCCGTGGCCGATCCCACAGCTCGTGGGAGAGCAAGCCCGTCCTCCCCGCCCGCTCGCTCAGCTCTGCCTGCCCTCCTCGCGCATGGCAACGTTTACCAAGGCGACAGAGACTTCACCACACACACACACACACACACACTATAGTTTGCCCCTGTAGTCCACGTGCGTGTGTATTTAATTGCTGTTTGACCTTCCAGTGGTGAAAACACCTCAAGGTACCTTGGCCGGGGAGAGGGCTCTTAGCGGGGAGTGCTGTGCTGGCCGAGCTCCGAATGCGGGGGATTTGTGTGCCGCATACTTCTCTACCCAGCCTGTTTGCCTAACGGGGAGACCAGGCACTGGCAAGGGTTGCCCCGGTCTGCCGCCTTCAGAGTAGAAGCTGGCTGGCGTGCTCATCTAGGGGTCCCTGGGACAACCCCTCTTTGGTGCTCTTGCTTGGGCTCAAAAAGATTTCAAGAACATTTTAAAATTTAAAAGTTAAAAAAAAATACATCTAGTTGTGGCTCATGGGCTGACTCGGTGCTGTGACTCCTTCCCACCACACGCTGAGTCTGGTGTGCGGAACCGTGCACCTGCGACGACATGCTTCACAGTTGGAGCTTCTGCCAAGTGTCCACTTGAAAGCCAAGCCTCCCCTCCCCCCTTTTTCCTCCCCCAAATGAAACTTTTGGGGTTTAATTTTGTTCTTCTCCTCTCCTTTAACACAACAGAATTGGCCTTTTTTTAGCACTGCAGAACCGCCGCACGGTTCCCGACCCGGGCTCTTATTGAGGCTGTCGTTCACAAATAAGCTTTTGTCCAAGGCCTCGGCATTAAGCAAAGATCTCCTGACAGACACTGGGCGGTTGTGGTCTGCGTCACCCCCGTCACTGGAGCGCAGGCCCAGGGGAGGGGACATCGCTTCAGAGCCTCCTCTTAGCGGTCACTTGTTTTCTCAGCCGAGCCATAGCGAGTACCCTCTGATCACTGCATAAGCTCAGTGTGTATTTTGAATGCTGCAGAGGGTTTTAAACATAATCTTATCGGTTCACATATTGTACTTTTTTTTCAAACCAAGACCATGCTTTTCCCACATCTGGAATTCCATTTGACTCCCTTGAAAGTCTTTCCCCAAGTCAGAGGCCCCACCGCACTTCTGCTTTGCCCGTAAGCTTGCAGACCTCCTGTGATGGGCCTTTGGACGTGGACCCCGCGCCTGGCACCCATCATGGGCATCTCAACTTTCTGTCCGCCAGCAGAACCTGTACCCTCATACCTCGAGGTAGACAGAAGGGAAGTTGTTGTGTGGCTTTGAAAACGGGTGTCCAGAGAACACGGTCTAGTTTGTTTATGTGATTAAACAACTTATTTATGTTAATTGAAAACAAATGGCCCCGATTTTAAAGTTGCCTTTCGGTATTTGTGGTTGTCATTTGAAATTACCCATAACCCTGGCTTTTATTGCATTTCCAACCCTTATAAAAGCAGCCGTTCTGACTCCCCTCCTGCCCCCACCCTGTTGCAGACAAAAGGCTGCGTGCTGGCCAACGGCAAAGTGGGCGAGGAGCAGGAGGATGACGAGGACGAGGACGAGGAGGAGGCCCGGCTGTGGAGGGCACCCAAGGAGGAGGCGGACGACGAGGACGAGCTCCTGGAGTACGACCAGGAGCACATCAAGTTCATCGACAGCATGCTCATGGGCTCAGGCGCCTTCGTGAAGAAGATCTCCCTCGCGCCCTTCTCAGCCACCCACCCGGCCTACGAGTGGGAGGTGCCCAAGAAGACCCCGCTGGGCAGCCTGCCCTTTGCGCCTGACCTCGATGACCTCGACTACAGCGCGTGGGACGCCATGTGCTATCTGGACCCCAGCAAGGCTGTGGAGGAGGCCGACTTTGTGGTGGGCTTCTGGAACCCGTCGGAGGAGAGCTGCGGTGCCGACGCGGGCAAGCAGTCCATTTCCTACGACCTGCACACGGAGCAGTGCATCGCCGACAAGAGCATCGCCGACTGCGTGGAGGCCCTGCTGGGCTGCTACCTGACCAGCTGCGGGGAGCGGGCCGCCCAGCTCTTCCTCTGCTCCCTGGGCCTGAAGGTGCTCCCGCTGGGCTCCCGGGTGGCCTCAGCGGCCCGACCCCCCACCTCAGGCCTGCGGGACCTGGAGTATGGCTGCCTGAAGATCCCCCCCAGATGTATGTTTGACCACCCAGATGCTGATACGACTCTGAACCACCTGATCTCGGGATTTGAAAACTTTGAAAAGAAAATCAACTACCATTTCAAGAACAAGGCCTACCTACTCCAGGCGTTCACGCACGCCTCCTACCACTACAACACCATCACTGGTACGGAGGCAAGTGGGAGGGCCAGTGGGGAGCCTCAGAGAAAGGAGAGGTCCTCTGGGAGAGCCGAGCCATCTGATGCCCTGGGGCCACCTGGTCCGTCCCTGTCTGTCTGCTGGGGTGGCCCGGGCAGTGGACATCCCCTCTCCTGTGTGACCTGTCCCAGTGTCTGTCGTGTGCCTGGTCACTGTGGCTTTATGGGGTCTGACTTTCCTGCTGTTGCATTTCCGCTCCTGTTTGGGGCAAGGGTACGGGAGGGGCCCGCTGCTCCTGCTCTGACCTCTTGCCTTTACCGTCTCTGACTCCACGGGCCTTCCCCTCCTTCCTGGGATGGGCTTTGTCCGAGGAGGGGCTCAGGATCTCCGAGGGGTTCCACCTCGGAGCTCCGCCCCCTCCCCCCTATTGTAGCGGTGGCGGTACTGCTTAGAGGCGGGAAAGCCAAACCAAACGGTTCTCTGCCTGTGTGCTGGGCAGACATGCAGGTGGGAGGCAAGAGCATTCTTCCTCTGGAGGGAAAGAGACCTGTGATTTGCTAAGACACTGTACTGTCTGCATCGGAGGCCAGCCGCTTCTAGCTTGCTCCCTGCCCCCACACTGGCTCTCACTCCCTCAGTCTCCTCCGGAACAGATTCTCTCTAATCTCTGGGAGCCAGCACAGCCTGATAGGGGGTCTCGTTTGGATGGTCATTCAGGTCTGCGCTGACGTCCTCAGGTTGAGAAGGGGGGTCTTCTGGGAGCTGCGAGGAATGGCGTGGCAACCCCGAGGGGGGTGGGGAGGAGGGCTGAACTGTGGTAACAAGGTGTGGTAGGCCATGCAGGCCTGGGGAGGGGGGTGTCGGCGAGAGTGCGCTTAGCTGGGGAGGAGGTTTTCTTGACAAGCACCGGCCTCTTGATCCCTGGACAGATTTTACAACCCTAACTGCCCATAAGAAATGTGCTTGCTCAGTCAGTTCCCCATCACCTCCAGAGGCTTTGCCAGTTGTATCAGTGCATGGCTTGTCACCGTCTGGGCCTTAAGGCAGGCGTACGGCAGCTGATTGGTCATTTACATGGGTTTGAGGCCCCCTGTCCCTTATGTTGGGTGGGGAAGCAGCCTGAGTGGGCAGGCGCTCACGCCCTGTGGGGCTCTTTCAGATTGTTACCAGCGCCTGGAATTCCTGGGAGATGCGATTCTGGACTACCTCATAACCAAGCACCTTTACGAGGACCCGCGGCAGCACTCCCCGGGGGTCCTTACCGACCTGCGCTCCGCCCTGGTCAACAACACCATCTTCGCCTCGCTGGCTGTCAAGTACGACTACCACAAGTACTTCAAGGCCGTGTCGCCCGAGCTCTTCCACATCGTCGACGACTTCGTGCAGTTCCAGCTGGAGAAGGACGAGATGCAGGGCATGGACTCCGAGGTCGGTGCCCAGGCTGGCGGTGACCCCAGTGGGGCGGGCCCTCTGTCTGTCTCTGTCTCTGTCTATCAGGGGACAGGTAAGCAGCATGGCGTGCTCTCTGCGCCTGCTCAGAACGGGGACCATCTCGTTAGAAAACCAAACTTGGGAATTTTTAGCAGTTGGAATTTGGGAGACTTTTGCTGTGAAGTTCAGCCAAAGGTTCTGGAGTGATGGAGCTAATTCTGATGTTTTCAGGAACTGTTTCACATTGTTGGTAGGAAAGGATATTGCTTCGATCTTTCCCATCTCCACTAAACCTTCACTAGTTTTTGTCCACATACCTGTGTCCCCAGGAGAGCCCTCTCCTCCTCCTCCTCCTCCTCCTCCTCCTACTCCTCCGGCTTCCTCGCCTAATTTTAAATGTCTAGGAGTGTACACTCCCAACCCTGGGCGCCGCTTAACGCTTTCTTCTTCCACTTGGACCTCCCTCTGGCTCTCTTTGTCGCTGTCTCTTGTCTCTCCATCTGTGTGTGCGTGCGTGCGTGCGTGCGTGATTGTTTAATTGTCAAAGAGTAACATTTCCCTGAGAAAAATGAGTTGCCTTGGTCTTAATCAGAAATGCAGTCTTAGAAACCGTCCCGAGCGTGTGCTGACAAGACACCAGGAGGCCGAGGTGGGCTTCTGCCTCTGCAGCCCCCCCGCCCCCTGGGCTGAATGAGTTGGGCTGGAGCTGGGTTTGCAGGGGAGCAGGAAGGAGATCATCTCTTGGAGATGCACCTCCAGCCCCTTGCCCCGGTCTTTTCTGGAGCTCCTGTCAGCTGGGACTTGGCCCAGGTCCTCTGGGAGGAGGTTTTGGTGGGTCTGCGCCTCCTGTCCCTTCTCCCGTTGGCAGGAAGTGGAAGCTCTCTTAGGGGATAGGCCCCCCTGCTGTGCGGGCAGATGAGGAACAGCCCGTTGGGATGCTCCCAGAGCTGGAACGGCTGCCCCTGGGTCACGCGTGTCACGGGGGCTTGGTGACATTGCACCCTTTGAGTGTCAGCCCCTCGCTTCCAGTGAGCACGCGTGACTGTACTGAGGGGGTTCCTGCTCACAGCGACCCTGCCACCACGCACTGCCTTCACGCAAAGCCAGCTGTTGTTCCTGAGTCCGGAGCTGGGATGGGAGCGGAAAGCGTGTCTGGCAGCCCAGCACATCCCACCGTGCACCAGCGTTCTCGAAGCAAGACGCACCTCCACGCCCACTCCCTCTCCGAGCGGCGGAGCCAGTTCTTCCCCTCGGATCACGAGGGGGGTGCAGCCTGGTTGGCTTACGAAACGTTTGTTGACAGAGTCCATTTGTGCTGAAGTTGTTTCATTGGTGCCTAGAAAGAATCTTTTCTCTCTTGCAATTTTTTTTCCTTCCCCTGCCATGAGAAGGTCTGGGGGGAAACCTGCCCTTTCTGAAAACTAAAACATGTGAAGAGTCTGACACAGCGCCTGGGTTGTCACCAGCCGGCAGGGACCCTGACCATTGTGGTGGGGAGCATTGCAGTCACCAGAGGGGAGAAAGACACCTTGGGTGCTTTCTGCTCACCACTCCCTTTTCTCTCTGCACTAGCTCAGGAGATCTGAGGAGGATGAAGAGAAGGAAGAGGACATTGAAGTCCCCAAGGCCATGGGGGACATTTTTGAGTCGCTCGCTGGTGCCATCTACATGGATAGTGGCATGTCGCTGGAGACGGTGTGGCAGGTGTACTACCCCATGATGCGGCCACTGATAGGTACCGGCCCGTCCACAGACCCGAGAAGCTGAGTTAACTTCTGCCCAAGCCTCTGACCCACTCTCTCCTTGCATTTTGATTTACAGAAAAATTCTCCGCAAATGTGCCCCGTTCTCCTGTGCGAGAATTGCTCGAAATGGAGCCAGAAACAGCCAAATTTAGGTACGCACTGGGATAGGGTGGGGTGGGGACAGATATCCACAGAATCAAGGTGGGTAGCTAGGGGTGGGGGACTCAGAGAGCCACGGGCGGCGTGGAAAGCCCCAACACAAGTGGCCCTCCTCCCATTCCTGCCGAGTGGAAGCATGGAGGGACAGGAGCAGCGGGAGCCCGGCCTCGGGAGAAGGGTGGCGGGTCACAGGGCGGTTGTGATAACTGCTTCCGCTGCCCGGGCTCAAGCCGTGTGGACCCTTTGCAGCCCGGCAGAGAGGACGTACGAAGGGAAGGTCCGAGTCACCGTGGAGGTCGTGGGGAAGGGGAAGTTCAAAGGCGTCGGCCGGAGCTACAGGATCGCCAAATCTGCCGCGGCAAGAAGAGCCCTCCGCAGCCTCAAAGCGCATCAACCTCAGGGCCCCAACAGCTGAACCCCCCTTTTAAACGGGAACACAAAACAAGCCCTGTTAAAAGGAGAGGGGAGGTCATTTAATGCAAGCATGGTTTTACAGTCGACATCAAACAGGATGAATTGAAGATAGAATCGGAAAGTTTGACAAGACAGCAGAATAAAACCTTGAACATATGTATAAAATTTTTGGAACTAACTATAGTTTTAGTTTTTGCGCAGACACAATCTTGTGTTCTCTCCTCAATTCTGCTTTCTCTAAATCACAAGAGTGCTTTAATGCTGAGGTTTAGCAAGTGGACAGCAGTCCTATGGACAGGTGTTTGGTTGTGCAGTTCATTTTTACCCCTCACTCAGTTTACTCTGGTCCTCTATGCTGGGTGTTTTGGAAGGCCACCGGGGAGCTTCGACCTGGAATAGCCCCTGGGTTTCTGTCGCCTTGCCCAGGGGGTTTGTGCAGCACCCCCCACCCCAGGGGTTGCTCCTCGGACTGGAACGGCACTGTTGGTCTGCGCGGGAGCTAGCCCGCCTTGAGGTCGGTTTTCTCTCTTGAGTTTCAGGGTCTAAGCAGCTTCCCCTCCTGTCGGTGGCTCGGGACAGCTTCTCCATGGCCACTGGCTGGGTGTGGTGGTGAATCATGTTTTGGTTTTCTGATGCCACGTAGTCTTGAATGTTTGAAGGGTGGGGAGGTTCTTGCCTTAAAAGTAAAACACTTGTGGCTGGCCTTCCCTCTAGCCCTCCTGGAACAAACGGTTGTACAGCCAGCCGGCCATTTGATGCCTCGGGCAGCCGCGGGGACCTCCAGGATGTTTACAGCTCTCTGGTCCAGCTGTCCTCCAGCTTAGGATGGGCCCGGCTGCCCTGTGTGGGTCAAAGGCGTTTGAAACTCCAGACTCCATAGTCTATGTATTCTTTTTTTTTTACCCATAATAAATACAATCTTTGGTTTAAAGACCCTGTTTTCCCGAACACTGAACACCTTCTGCCGGGTTGTTGCGCTCCTGGAAATAGATGCCCCGCAGATCCTTCTGCCATGCAGACCTGCTCTGGCCACACGCCCAAGCCCTACCACCCCTAGAAGATGCTGCAGATCGTAGTACTGGCTGGTGGCTTAGTGAAGCCAAGCCGAGCACCTTTACCTGAATCCCCCTGCACCCCACCCCACCCCACCCTCGGTGCCACCGGAGTGCGTGCCTCGCCTGCCTGGCCGTGCTGTGCAGGCCGAGAAGGTTCCCGCTGGCACGTGCCGCTGCCCTGCTGATCCGCCCGAGTTGTCGGTCATTCATCTGCATCACTGTCCCTCTGTGGAAAAGGAAAGAGATGTTTATTTTTCCGCATTTGCCCGTCTCTTCACTTAGACCCCGTATAGGCACTCTTCACTAAATACCTCAGTTCTTTTCTGTGCATGCGTTTCCTCCCCTGGCGGGTGCTATGTTTATGTATTATGCTTGAAAACTTTTTTTTTTTTGCACTGTAACTATAATACCTCTTAATTTACCCTGTTGTACAGCTGTGGGTCGCTCCTGCACTCCCACTGATCTATATCTAATCAGTAGAGGTTTGCTGCAATTTGCCCTGTTAATTATGCTTGGAGTTGCAGAGAGCTGAGCAAAGGTGTCTCACATTTCCCGGCACCTGACTCTGACCCGAAGTTTCATGCCTCGCCGCCTCCGTGTTTCGGGTTCAGTCCCACGCTGTGCTGCTGCTTGTCCCGCGGCCGCCCCGCTCCGCCTGTCTGTCTGTCGGCTGCTCTGCGCCGTTCGAGGAGTTTTGGTTTCTGAGGACGTGAATTTCAGTGGACTCATGTTTTGTTCTGATTTGGGAACGAGATTGCTACGAAGCCGGCGGTGGGGTGGGGTGGGGTGCCGCCAAACGCTGGCGGAAATGAGATGATTGGGATTTTTCCCCCCCACGGATTTTTGGAACCTCATATTTGATTTTTGTGTGTTTGTGTTTTGTTTTTTCTTTAAGAGCAAAGTGTAAGATACAGCAAGTTAAGAACCAAGAGCTTCTTGAATGCTTTCGCCGCCTAGGTGAATGTGTACAATTAGCAAGTTGGGCGCGAGGGGGCTTTTATCCCGGAGGGTGACTGAGATGGGCTCTGGAGGGAGTCTGGCCGTGAGTGGCGAGGGTGGCATCCCTCTGGGGCACCGCCACGGTGGGGGCACAGCCCCCTGCCCTCCGAGCACCGAGACCCGCTGCGGCCGCAGCTGCCGGGGGGAGCACGCCTCCGTGCAGGAGCAGGCTCCCTGCCACCGTTCAAACGCCCGTCCACTGCCAACGTTCGTGGGCCTTTGGTGGCGGCTTATTTAGGGACGGAGACAGGGGTCTTGGGTCAGCGCGCTGG